TGGACAGTGATTACGGAGGACCAGGGGTCTTCTTGTGGACAGTGATTACGGAGGACCAGGGGTCTCCCCGACAGGTGAAGGGTATAGGATATCTTGTGTTTGATAAGGAGAGAGATATAGAGATAGGCCTGACACTTGTAGGCGTTAGCAGGATCTTGTGGAAATATGAGATCTTAGCAGAGGTGATAGTGAGAAGACAACTGCTTAGCACCGCTGGAAGTAGGCCTTTTACCACGCGAATTGTGGTCGGTTCTCCTCCACAGAATTACCATCCGCTAGGGAGCTGGCGGATGGCTTTACCTGAGTTTGTTATAGAACAAACTTATGGAGGCGTGGACTGGTTGACGAAAGCAGACGACCACACTCAGCACGCGTTCTTACGAGGACTAGAGCGTCGATTCCTGGAAGCATACTACTCAGTCTGCGTAAGGTGGGGGCCTCCTGGTAAGGAGGTGCAGAGAGGTTTATTAGACGCTACCTCCTGTCTAGACGGCCTGAAACCTGCAGATTTGATCCGCTATTGTCGGAGACGCGCAAAAGACAAATTCATCAGGCAGTAGGACCTGAGAAACCTGTTTGGGCATAGCTAGTGGAAGAGATGCCAGGTCGGATGATTACAGGGGTAAATGTGACGAGGCAACTAGTGAACGAGGGTTTCACGATTACAGTCCTACTTAGAGCTCACATAGACGACATCCTAACAGAGCATGAGAGTTTTCTGCAAGCCAGGGAATTTATCCGAGAATATAGACCAGGAGTTCTCGAATGCGTCACATTTCAGACCAAGATAACGTATCAAGTGATGGTGTGGTCAGCAGGGTACTTGCGAGCGGAGTTGTTCTTCAATGAGACTGTAGCGGAAGCCAGGAGTAGAGTATGATTACCCTGTCATGACAGAGAATGAACAACCAATGTATTGATATAGACCTCAAGCCTCGTATTCACTGCGGTGGGACCGCAGAGGGTCCGAGTCCTGGAGGAGCGTGAGTGAGAGGAACCCCAGAGTAGCTACTCGGAGAGTTGAGACAAGGAGTACCTCTCCTCGGCGATGCCTTCCCTACGCTCGAATCGTCTCTAGGCAGCTAGCGAGTGACAGCGAGACCCTACAGTTCCTCTTGAGAGTGAGCATAGAGGAAGAACTGTCGAACAACGAGTTCAAAGAACTTGCGGAAGACGTCATGCGAGAGCAGAGACCTGGTACCTTGAGGGAATTGACGACGCAGAGTTAAGTAGTATATGAGGTGATCGTATGCGTTAATAGAAGAGTACGCTTGGAGATAATTCGGGACGAGACACCCTCGGAAGCTAGAAGCAATATGTGATAGGAAGTTCATGAGAATAAGAAAGATGGGTTGTACGTGATGAAGGATCTGGAAGATAGGAAAAAGAGGGTCGATGAATGGATTATTAAACCAGTAGTGAAACTAGTCAGAGAGCTTGGCGTGAAGATCCAGGATTGCGTACCGAGAAAGAGTGAGAGAGAGTTGCGTAAAATAGAAGCGGCAACGAAGGCATTGCAAAGGCTTTTGAGAGGAGATAGAAAATTTTTTGTGAGGTGGAGGCTTGATTTTCTGGAAAGTGTGAAAGGGAGAGTTCATATTAGTCAGGAGCGAGAGGACTCGCCCGAAATGACCGGAAGAATAGGCAAGGTGTTTGAAGCAGTGGGATCGGAAAAGAAGGCGAAAGATGAGGGAACGTCAGAATGGAGATAGAAGAGGATGAGTAACGAGAAATGTGATATGCGTATAACAGGAAGGTTGACTGGGAAAATCGCTTGTGTCGTCATACAACTAGTCCATCGGGAGAAGCTAATTGTGATAGAAGAGGCAGAGTGCACCCGACGAGCTGTACGAAAGGCGCGAGTGACCGGACTCTGGGTAGGGGAGGAGAGTGCGTGCTTGATCAACTACTCGCTGCGCGTTACCCCTTTTGACGAGCCACCTCTAAATAGGGCATGGCGTGAGACTTCTAGGGAGGCCAAGAGGCTCCTGGAGAATGAAGCAGAGGAAGCTGGAGATCTGGTGGAGATCATAGGGGAAAGTTCAGTTCTCAGAATACTCCAGGCACACAACCGGTATTGGAATGAGTACCTTCAGACTCTATCCGATATTGAAGACTTTGGGAGAATAGACGATTTTGAGACATTCTATAAGTTTTTGGAAGAATCCACTGACAGAGTTCTGCTAGCCCTGACGCTAATCGCAACGGAGTGTTAGATACCTCATGGATAAGAAATGCCATTACCAGACGCAGAGCTAGCAAGGAGGAGAAGAAGATTCGGGGTTTGGGGTGGTCTTTACGAATCTGAACACGAGAGAGTACTTGCTGAATTAAACGCTTTAGGCGGACGAGAAATCTTCCCTTACGAGGTGATTAAGTATCAAGTACAGAACAGTGGAATCGAACGCAATCAATATTATATTATGACTGTGCGATTTTATGACTTGGAGGTGTACCACGTTGGTATATATCTGCCTAAAGAGAGAGAAAAATTTTGCATATATGGGAGGACTTGGAGGAGAGCTGCGTGGGCATTGAGAGAAGAGGAAAAAAGGTTAGGAAGTTTCGGAAAGATTGTGGAGGTCTGCGATGACATCACTATTTTTGACGGTCTGCCCAGGCCGCCTGTCCTATACCAAGTGCTAGAGCAGAACACATGGAAGATTGTAGTTAGATTCCCTCAGACAGTCAAGACTGAGGGCAAGCTCAAAAAAAGCGTTAAGGATGGATAGGATGCGCGGATGAATGACGATACGACTATCCCTGAGCGCGCGCTAGAAGCTAGGAGGGAGAGGTTTCTCGCGGGCAACAGACCTTCGGACACGGAGTTGACGAAAGTCTGCGACCAGTTGAGTTCTTTGGGGCGAAGAGAAGTGATTCCGTACGAAGTAGTGACATACGAGTTAATGGACAGCGGATGGGAGCAGATACGCCTTTACATTATCACCGTTCGGTTCTTTGCTGTGGAGGTGTATGATGTTAGGATTTACCTCCCAGTTGAGCGCGAAGGCGATTTGATTTACGGTCGGTGCTGGGAGCGTGCGGAAGAAGTCGTTGAAAATGAGCGGGATAGGCTCCAAGCGCTAGGTAATGAGGTAATCTGGAACACCCAGATTACGATCTTTCAGGGGTTACCCAGACCTCCTGTACCACGTCAGGTGGTACAAGGGAGAAACAATGAGGCAGTGGTTGGCCTAGCACTTCGATACTTTAAGTTCGATGGCCGTAGGGGGTGATTACCCACTCGCAGGAGCTCGAATCGCACATCACGGGTTGCACGAAGGATATCGGTTGACCTACGAGGAGTTTACTTTCTTGTGCACCGGAGGAGGATCGCAACAGGAATTTGTAGGAGAGTAAGGATACCAGAGTACGGAGTTATAGAGATTAGGAGAGGCGTTCGTTGCATAGAAGAGCAGGACGGAGAACTTTATTTTGACTCAGGGATTCTAGGAATCGAGGGTGAGCACGAGATACGAGACGAGGCTGGGAGACTCGTTACGATCCTGAGAGAGGTCGTAGACAAGTGATTGTTTTTTTTTTTTTTTTTTTTTTTTTAATATCATAGGTCCGGGCTGCGGATACTTTCATAAGTCCGAGCTGCGGATACTTTCATAGGTCCGGGCCGCGGATACTTTCATAGGTCCGGGCTGCGGATACTTTCATAGGTCCGAGCTGCGGATACTTTCATAGGTCTGGGCTGCGGATACTTTCATATGTCCAGACTGCGGATTCTTTCATAGATCTGGGGTGTTGGTGCTGACCTCCTAAATCGCAAGAGGGGAAAGTATATGGAATCGGACATGATGGGACCGCATCCGGATGAGAAGCAAGCTGTATATCGAGCATCGCCGGATCGGGCCCTGCGAGATCTCAAGGAGCGTCTTCGACAGAACGCCCCTTTGAGGTGTGTAGAGCAGCCGAACGACGGCGAGTCCGAGGTGATGGCACCTCCTGCCGTTACCGAGTCCAGCAGGACCGCGCCGATAGAGCGACCGGACATACAGACCGAGCCTCCGAGTTTTCGGTGCGAATCATTTATTCAACGCCCATCTATGTATGAGCGTTGGGAGGATAGAGGCTACCTAGGAAGGGAAGACTGGAGGGACCAATTCATTAGGGAGCAACTTTGGAGAGATAGGGAGAAAGCTGCGATATCCAGACGAGTATTTGACCCAGAGACAGGGGAAACACACTCTCTGCCATACGAGACGAGAGATGGGCTCATCATCTCGCATCAACCCTCAAAGTTGGATACCGGACCACCTGTTTTCAAAGGGTGTGGTATAACCGAATATATCGCAAAGTGGGAGTTGCACGCATACCGAAGTCAGTGGACAAAGGATGAGATTATAGACAACTTCTTGTTTAATGTGGACCCAAGCTTGAGCCAAGAGATGAAAGATTCTCGACCTAAAGATAGGCGATGGGCTACTCATAAAGTCAATCTGCACGAACTCTACAAACTCGAAGATGTTAAGTATTCTATCCGGTATTTGGAGCAGCTAACCAAAGGAGAGGGCGAAAGTGTTCGGGCCTTCGGAAAGCGGTTCCAGAAGGTATCTGATGCCCTTATGGCAAAATTGTCAGAGGTCGAAAGATGCACGATTTTCCTTGGGCAGCTACCGAAAGGGAAGCAAAAGGCAATGCTGAGAGAGACGCCTCACGATAAGCTAGAATTCACTGCGTTGCTCAAGTTGGCCATAAAGGCTGAGGCAGATGATTACGAGGACTTACTCTGGAGAGGTATGCAGCGCCGGGATTTTTCCCTCTATCAGGAATACGGGACCGACAGGTGCCCAGATTTCAACGACAAACCTTGGGCAGAGCGACGTTATATGATGGATAGAGATGGGCCCCAACGGTCAAAGGATAGATGCTATCATAGAAGAGATGCAAGAGAAGATGAAGGCAATGGCAAGGCAATTGGCAATTTTGAAACGAAGGTCGGAACTACGTATCGGGATAAACCCGGGTCACCTTATTCCTAACGATGGGATCGCAGCAATACTGACCCATGGAGAAGCGTCGAAGACTGTAACCCCCGCACACTGACCGACTATCGCGCGAGGGAAAGAGATAAGGATGAGCGTCGGCATAGAGACGAGGATGATCGTAGACGTAGGGGATGAAGAGGATCGAAGACGCAGAGAAGAAGACGATCGGAGACGTAGAGAGGACGAAGAGAGGAGGCGCCGTGATGATACTATAGACAAAGACCGCCGGCGTGATGGGTACCGAGGGGGAGATTCTTACAGTCGAGGAGACAGAGCTGACCAGTATCCGCGCAGTCCCAGAGGCCAGTACCCGCGCAGTCCCAGATACGGTGGAAATGTCGAGGGGTACCGGAACCCGAGCAACTTTAACTCGGGGGATAGAAAGGAACCCCGCAGTCGATGGGAGTCGGATAGGGACCGCCGAGATGGGTATCGAAGCGGTTATGAGCGGACAGGGAGAGGTGATCGTAGAGAAGAGCCACGGGGGCAGTATGAGAGGGGAGGATATCCTGCGTCGCCAGGGTATCCCAAGTCCCCAAACTACCCCATATCTCCTGGGCCATCTAACCAGGATGCGAGACGACCGGCGATTAGGTCCGTGGAAGAACGACCCCCTACCCCCAGGAACTCCTGTATCTATTGCAGGGGAGATGATCACCTCAAGATGACCTCAAACGGGCAATAGATGAAGGGCTTGTCGTACTTGATGATCACAAGTACGTCGAGTGGGCGGATAACCTCGACGATGTATCGATGTTTCCTTCAATGAAGGAGAACGTGGAAGCTAGGCGAGTAGTACCGAATAAGGGTAAAGGGGTTGCGAGAACCCAAAGCGTGAGACTGAGTCGGTCTTCAGATGAGGAGAGTCCTATGACGCCCATACGGGTGGCAGTGACCAAGTCCGCCAGGGCTTCCTCCTCCAAGAAGGCTGACACTGATTACGTAATGGAAGAGAAGGATGGACAGAGGATTGAAGGAGGAGAAATTATACTTTCCCCACGCAAACGTGGGGCAAGAAAGTTCACGATGAAGAGTACTCTGGATGACATGGACACGGTCGAACCTCTTAGACGCGCTCTCGGGCAGCCTATGCAGTGCACGATCCTAGAGTATTTAGCGGCCTCGAGGCCAGCACGGGATGAATTGCAGATGATTACTCGTAAGGCACGTATTCCCCTGAGCGACGAGGTCCAAATGACGACTAAACAGGAGGAGATACCCACTGTTGCTGTATCAAGTGTGGTCGCCAAGGCGGATCGTGCTGCGACGATGTTCTTAGATGGGATAGAAGGGGTGCCCCCTGACAAGTTTTATATCCTGGGCAGCGGGACAATACAGACTACCCTCAATGACGAAATAGTTCTTCATGCAGTTATTGATAATGCAACGAGGCTGTTATCATCGATGAGGGCATGGCTATCCGATTGGGATTAGATCTTGATAAGTCGTTCAAATTTGAGATAGAGACCGCCGATGGAAGGAAGAAAAAGGTCACCGGGGTTTGCCACAAGGTTGCAATTGAGGTCGAAGGGCTGAGAGTGACGATGCCTGTTTTCGCGGTTCGAGATTGCATCGCAGAGTTATTATTGGGGCAGACATGGCTGAGTCACGTCCATGCCGTTACTATAGAACGACCAGATGGAAGCCAGATGCTTTCCATCAAGTGCCCAGACGGTGGGCGGATTATGATGGAGACGGTAGAGCCTCGTGACCCGAGGAACAAAGTGGTTTTCGCTGAAGGGGGCCACGTACCAGTTCGCGTACGTGTAGGGAGAAACGCCTATCCTAAGGCGGAAAATGAGGAATTTTGAGGGATGATATCTGTCTCTTTTTTAAGGGCACAGCTCCCTACGGGGGGCGACCAAAGAGACACAAGACAGTAGCTCAGAAGGTTAAGCTGGCGGCTGTAGCGCGAGAGCGATCCGCGTTGGATGGAGTATCTGAAGAAGAGATCGCTAGAGAGATTAAAGAAAAGAAGAGGAAGGAGCAAAAAAGAGGATAGCAGAGATGGACATAGGCGATGAGAATTTAACTGAGCCGGAGAAGGAACGAGTGTTGGAAGTTCTTAAGTCTTGCGATACAGATGGACATAGGCAAAGAGAAGATGGCGTCACACATAGCTGAGCCTTGTGACAACGCGTATGCAAACAGGTGGTTCTTCTTAAGGAAGCCTAACGGAAAGATTCGGTGGATTCAAGACCTTCAGAAGGTCAACGCTGTAACGATTCGGGATGTAGGCTCAGTACCGCACGCTGGTCTACTAGCAGAGGGAGTGACAGGCAGATCCATTTATTCTGTTTGTGATTTATTTTCAGGATATGACGAGAGACCACTAGACTCGAGAGATAGGCATCTCACAGCCATGCACACGTCGCTCGGATTACTGCAGATGATGGTCGTTCTGATGGGATGGACCAATGGGGTAGCGGTCTTTCAGAGAGTCATGGTAGCGGTCCTGAAAGACTTTATCCCAGACAAAGTAGAAGTTTTTCTGGACGACTTTCCGATAAAATGACCGGTGTTGAAAGATGAGACGGAAGTCGCTCCTGGCGTCAGGAGGTTCGTAGAACAACACCTGACGGACATTTACGCAGTTTTGGAACAGCTAGATGAAGCTAACCTGACAGTTAGCGGGACAAAGACTCGATGGGCCGTATCGACGATTAAAATTCTAGGGTTTATATACGACGCGAAAGACCGACGCCCCGATCTTGGAAAGCTAGAAAAGTTGTCGAATTGGCCGACTCCGTTGCACAGTGCAACTGAAGACCGCCAGTTTTTAGGGGTTGTTGGTTATTGGCGGATTTTTATACGGGGATATGCGGAAAAGGCGGAACCTCTGCGTACACTTCTTAGGAAGACAAATAAGTTTTACTGGGATTCTCCTTAAGAGCTAGCAGTGAAATCCCTCAAGGAAGAATTTAAAGAGGGTGGCAAAATTCTAGGTGTGCCTTTCTTTGAAGACGAGATGGACAGACCGTTCATAGTGTCTACGGATGCCGGACCATGCTCGGTTGGGGGATTGCTATCCCAGAATGATGCTGATGGGAAAGAGAGACCATTGAGGTTCGAGAGCCGAACACTCAAAACTGCTGAACGCAACTACAGTCAGTTTAAGGCGGAAGCGTTGGCTGTTTTGCGGTGCCTAGATACCTTTAGGCATTACATATATGGGAGATGATTCGTTCTTAGGGTAGACCCTACAGCCATTGCTTCAGTCCTACAGAAGGACTTCAGTCTGACGGATCCTACGATCGCACGATGGCTGATCAAGATTCGACTTTATGATTATATTGTGGAGAGGATTTCTGGGGCGAAGAACTCTGTAGCCGATGGACTTTCACGGATTCCTATCGAGGCAGAGCGACCGATATCGGTTGCTACCCTGACTATGGCCGAACCTAGACGAACTGATTGCTTCCTAGTCAATCTTTAAGAAGGTAAGTCCTGCATTTTAGGGTTGCATCTGTCAGGAGAGGAAAGCACTGATACGGACACCCGGAGACAAGCAGCGCAGTACTGCCTTAAGGCTGGACATTTGTTTCGTTGACCTGTGGGGCCAGGAATGCCTCTCCGGGTGATCTGCGATCCGGAAGAGAAACAGTCCATAGTAGCCGAGTAACATGACGGTGTGGTCGGAGGACATAGAGGAGGAAAGGGTACATACGAGAAGGTTCGCAGATTATATTGGTGGGAAGGACAGTATAAGGACGTTGAAAAGTACTGTGAAACTTGTGAGGATTGCCAAAAGAGGTCCCTTATTTGGTATAAGGAACCACTTCACCCTTCTTATCCCACTAGACTAGGGGAGAAAGTGCATATTGATTTGGTGAAGATGCCGAAGGGTGTAGGGAACATGAACTATGTAGTTAACATCAGGGATGATTTCACTCACTTCGTCGATGGCAAGCCTATCAGGATGAAGGCAGCAAGAGAAGTTAATAACTTCGTCCTAGAGTATTTGACTAGATACGGATGTGTTAGTAAGATTGTGATGGATAGAGGAGCAGAGTTCCTAGCAGACGAGGTACAAAGCGTATTCAAGAGAGCAGGAGCTAGAGTGTCTATTGCTACTGCTTGTCATCCTTAGTCCAATGCACCTGTAGAAAAAGGCCACCAGTCATTGATTGCGTCCCTATCCAAGTGGTGTAGAGGAAAGGATAGCGATTGGCCGAAGTATTTCCGATATGCAATATGGGCAGACAATGTGATTGTTCGAGCCAGTACGGGATACCCTCCCTACACTCTATGGCTTGGGAGACACTGCCCTCTACCCGTAGAGTTCCATGTTGATAGTTGGACTACGGTCGACTGGGCAGATAGTATGACACGAGAGGAATTGCTAGCAGCCCGAACTAGACAGATAGCATACGGGTTGGAGGATAACCTCATGACTGCGGCCTATCGACTGACAATAGAAAGAGAAAAGAATAAAGTGAGATGGGACAAATACGTCAGAATTAGAAAGGAAAAGATTAAGGTCGGCGATATGGTGCTCCTCTACGACGTCGCCCTAGAGAGGACATGGACAGGAAAACTAGCTAACAGATGGATGGGGCCTTATCGTGTGGTCGGTGCGTTAAGCTGGGGAGCATATATGATTGCTGAGTTAGATGGGTCAAAGTGGAAGGATCCTGTGGCCGGAGCTAGACTGAAGCTGTTTAGGTCAAGGGGGACTCCTACTCCTGCGTTGAGACAATCAGATCCAAAAAGGAAGGGTAAAGCTAAGATGGTAGACGGAGGACCGCCAAGACGGTTCGAGGTAGGTGAGAGTTCAAGGAAGAGGAAGATAGGAAGATAGTAGAGACCAAGAGAGTGAAGGGCTTAACGCTAGGCAAGAAAAAGAAATGGATTTTTGTTTTACAAAGGCCTAAGCGCAGAGTCCGCATAAGGAAGGGTGGCACAGCTGTCACACGAGCTCTCCAACAGAAGAAGAAGCGGAAGAATATTCCTACAATGAGATCCAGACGGCTGCGACATAAGAAAGGGAAGAAGCACCCTCCTAGCCCCAGAGTTCTAGAGAAGCCCAAACGCCAGACAAAGAGGAGGAGGCACTTGCGTCGAGCGCGAGTGGTCCACTTAGATCTGGTGCGTTTCGTCTAATCTTGACGGGCCCGATGGGGGCGTCGAGAGAAGGTCCGGGCTTGTTTGTCGAGCGATCGAAAGCCAGTCAGTCGCCCTAATACCGGGAGATTGACCTGTAGAAAACTTGTTTAAGAAGGGACCGGCCGGCGGTTTCATCCGACCGGTTGGGAGAAATTAGGGGTAGTTTAATCACCCTTAATTTCGAATGTGTCAACCGCCAGGACTAGCCCTAGAAATTTGCGAAGGGGACTACCGCTTCGCCGCCCTCACGGCTATCTTACTGAAGACCTCATTTCCGTTCATTCTAGGCCTGTTCCGGGAAAAGACTGGCTGTGGGGCGGTTAACTCAGCATGAGCCTTGACGAGGCCCTTTTACGGTGTCCAACGGGCGCGAGGAACAGAAACCACATTTAATTAAATTTAGTATTAAAATTAAAAATGAGAAAAAAAATTAAAAACAAAAGAAAAGAGGAGAAAAACGAAATATTCATTGATTTATTTAAAATCGTCGATATAAAATTTCTTTATGGGACCGCCCTCAGTTACGGATTTGTCTGATAATATAATTAAAAACAAGCAAAAGGAAGAAAAGTAATAAAAGGGAAAGAAAACAAAGAATTACAGTCATTTAATTGGATTCCATCAAAATTTGTTTTGATGAGACCACATTATTTCAAGTATTTGCAGTGAATCCTGACCCCATATTATTTATTTATTCTGATCCTGACCCGATGATTGAGATCGATTGCATGACCTACCCGATTTGCCTGATTAGTAAGCTCACCGCGGTTTTGGGTGTATCGAGAGAGTGAGGGTGCATGGTCAGTATGGGTCCGGTGCTTCCTGAGTTTGAATGTATAGCTTCGAAATCGACTTGTCCTCGGTGCGGCATCGATGCGGTACACGCGACAGGTCCGATAATGGTTCGCCATCGGAGCAGTACACGCCCTTGCGTCGTTTTCTGGTTGGTTTGGGTCGACGCCCACATTTTCAGGTTTGGTATTCCTTCGGCTCCAGCGTCGTACGGTTATCTCAGGTTCGGAACAGGTTCGGAATTATCAGGTTTTGTACGGGATTCGACATGGGCCGCGTACCAGACAAAGTTCAGGTTCGGTGCTGGTTCTGCATTGCTAAGGTACGCGCTACAGCGGCTCCAAATGATTGTATCAGGCATAACACTGGTATAACGACACAGGGCGAACATGACTACTGGTTCAACAGTTCCAGATTTAGTACGGCTCCCTTGTTCGCTGGGGCAGGTGTGGTGTATTTGCTATACACTATGGTACTCGGTTTTGGTTTTGCATCGGGATGGTCCTAGCTTTTCAGGTGCGGGACAGATACGGCACTGGGGCTGCGCACTGTGGTCTGTTCATATTTTCGGGCCGTCGAAGGTACGGTGCAGTTCACTGCGGCTCCGGCTGATTATCTTTGGTCGACGCTGGTATGATAAACGGGCTACCGTGGGTGTGAAATTATTGTCCTGGTGCAGGGCGCGGTAATGATCTTTCTGAATCAGCGGTTGGATCAGAAACAGTCCGGAAAGCGGGTCTGAATCAAGCACGATACACAGACTTGGTACGCTGATTCGGGCCAAGTACGGAGACAACTCATTCTGGACCTATATCACTGCGACTGAGTCGGTACTGGAAT